GAAAATCCCTACCTGGGGAAACAACCTTTCTCGGAGAGGTGACCTTGGTTAAAACACATAGCGCCAAGAAGGGGAGCAAACATATTAAGAACAGTATGCCATATATGCCAGGTGCCTTGAAACATATGCTGTGCAGATGTTTCTTTCCTGCAGCGACTGTGTCAAGCAGCAAGGATGGACCGGCTTCCGGCAGGAGGAGGCGGCCCAAGCAGCCCTATAGGCTGCATGCCCCGCACACTCCAGCTTCGCTCTGGGAAGCACGGCCGACGCGCAGCCCGGGAGTGGGGTGTGTTTCTTCCGGTGGCACAGTGATTCTGAAACAACCGACTGGGTAGTCGAGGCTCAAACGAGTGAGTAAAATGTTGAGGAACATGGAAGCGGGTTTTCTCACTCAACATGGGTGGGCGCCAGGGGAAGTGCAGGCCCCGGGACAGAGGAGGCCCACACACGGAGCACGCAGGCAGGAGCACCGTGAGCACCTGGACCCGTGGGGACATAAAGACGCAGGAGATCTTGCATGAGTATTCCAGCCAGGGAATGGGAGGCGCCAGGTGGTGCAGGCGTAAACATGCAGGATCATTCATTCAGGGAGAACCGTCAATGGAGGCCACAAATCGCTTAAGAATTACAAACAGGAAAACAGTGACTTCACAGGAGAAAGCCTGGCTGTCACCACTTCACCCAGGAAAAAGTCAGTGTCACCATGAGACCGACAGATGTTGGATGTGCGACCTGATGGCTGACCCCTGCCCGAAGTTCACAACTGGGAGCTGTGAGGACCAGCGGGCAAACCCAGTCTGCAGGCCATGCACCACTCACTATAACTGACGTTCTCTTCACAGACTCCAGGGAAAGGCTGTCCAGCCTACAGCCAGAGCCACAGGCCCAGGCAGGGCCCAGCTCCTGCACAGACCAGCCGGCCCCGTCATGCTTCAGGCTACAGTGACAGCCGAAAAAGTCTCCTTTGGTCTGTCCGTGAGACAAGACTGCAGTATCTGCGCTGATTTCCTGAGCAGGTCACCGCACTGCGGCCACAGGAGCACCCTGGTCTCAGGAGGCACCTGCACCTGCACTGCCCACATGACAGGGAGGCTCGCCCAAGGGGGCAAACCTTAGCAAGGGGAGTCTAGGTGACGGGCAAGAGGTTCTTTATCAGCAAGTTATCTGCAAATTTGACATGATTTCAAAATAAAAGTTACATGCAACAAAGGTGAGCACTTCAGAGCAAGACAAAGACATGAAACAACACAACTCAGTTTTAAAAACTCAGAAATGAAGTGACGGACTCACATGGAATGAGAAGGAAAGTAAAGAATCATTTTGGAAATGAGGGTTGAATGAAAAGGAACACAGAAGCAGAAACAGGCCACAATCAGGGCCTTAGAAATTGCAGGCAGAATAAGGAACTCATACAACTCAACCAAAGGAAGTCAAACAATACAATTAAAAATAGGCAAAGGCCTAAACCGGTTTGGCTCAGTGGATAGAGCATCGGCCTGAGGACTGAAAGGTCCCAGGTTCAATTCCGGTCAAGGGCATGTACCTTGGTTGCAGGCACATCCCCAGTAGGGAGAGTGTGCAGGAGGCAGCTGATCGATGTTTCTCTCTCATGGATGTTTTTAACTCTCTATCTCGTTCCCTTCCTCTCTGTAAAAACTCAATAAAATATATTAAAAAAAAAGTAGGCAAAGGACCTAAATAAACACTTCTCCAAAGTGGGCATACAGATGGCCAAGAGACATATGAAAAAATGCTCAAAGTCACTGATCATTCGAGAGATGCAAATTAAAATGACAATGAGGTACCACTCACACCTGTCAGAATGGTTACCATCAACAAATCAACAAATGACAAGTGCTGGCTTGGCTGTGGAGAAAAGCAAACCCTAGTGCACTGCTGGTGGGAATGCAGACTGGTGCAGCCACTATGGAAAACAGCATGGAGTTTCCTCAAGAAATTAAATATGGATCTGCCATTTGACTCAGTGATCCCACTTCTAGGAATATCTATAATAATAAAAGCGTAATATGCTAAATTAGACCAGACAGCCGAATGACCTTCCAGATGAAACCAGGGCTGCAAGGGCCAAGCCCCTTGCATGAATTTCGTGCATCGGGCCTCTGGTATCCTAAGAAACCCGAAGCACCAATCAGAAAGCATGTGTGCACCCCTATGCTCAGAGCAGCACAATTTACAATAGCTAAGATCTGGAAACAGCCCAAGTGCCCATGAGTGGATAAAAAAGCTGTGGTACATTTACACCATGGAATACTATGCAGCAGTAAAAAAGAAGGATCTCTTACCCTTTGAGGCAGCATGGAGGGACCTGAGAGTATCATGCTAAGTGATGTCAGTCAGTCAGAGAAAGACAAGTATCACATGATCTCACTCATATGTGGAATCTAAGTAACAAAATAAGCTGATGAACAAAGAAGATCCAGAGACATGGAAGCAGGGAACAGAGTGTGGAATCTCAGAGGGAAGGTGGGGAGGATGGGTGGGTAGGAGGTAATCCCCAAAGACCTTGTATGAAAATATGCATAACCCATGGGCATGGACAATAGGGTGCTGAAAACCTGGGGCGGGGGGTGGTGGCTGGAGGGGGTCAATGGGGGAAAAGGGGGGCATATTTTAATACTTTCAATAATAAAGATTTAAAAAAAGAAAAAAAGAAACTGCAGGTGGATACAAATGTCGTTATCTCCGTCGCACACCTGGAACTCAATCAAAGAAAAAGAAGTCAAAGAAGCCAGAGACAGGAGGACTGGAGAGGGGAGCTGACTCCGGCGAAGCGCAGACGCAGGGAAACAGCCCAAACACATAGCTTCGGGACACGCTGAGAAAGCACATCACATACAGGGCAACACTGATGAGAAGAATCCAACCGAGACAACAGAGCCGCTGGGCTTTAAAGATAAAATCCTAAAAGGACTCATGGCTTCTGAAATAAACTGCATTTTAAAATTAACCAGGTTGAAGTCAGCCTAGGTAGCCTGCTTCTGGACAAGTGCCTGGGAGCCCGCACATTCCTCAGACGCGGGTCCGGGTGCTGCCTGTGGCTGGCTGAGGAAACCGGAAGCAGGAAGGGCGGGTCACGAGGCATGGCTGGGGCAGGCCTGAGCCCTGTTCAGGACACTGCAAGGCCAAAGCTATTTTCCTGATGATAATGCGAGTCAGTGACAATCACACTATCCTATTTGCCTTTTTCTCTCTTGTTATTTCATAAATATACATACAGTGCAATTTCCAGAGGCTGCATGTGGGAGGCGGATAATGACCCCCAACACGTCCAGACCCTGATCCCCGGAACCTGTAAGCATGTCACCTTTCATGCCAAAAGGGCCTTCACAGGTGGAATGATGTTAAAGGACCTGCAATGGGAGATCATGCTGGGCCTTCGGGTAGGAGGGAGGCAGAGGGTCAGAGGAGAGGGGACAACAGAGCAGAGGTCAGAGGGCTGTGGGGCCCAGGGCTAAGGATGCAGCACTTCTACAAGCTGGGAAAGGCCAGAAACGGGGTCCCCCAAAGCCCCAGGAGGAAGGCGGCCCTGCCAGCCTGTTTGGGACCTGTGAGAACCACGGGAGAAGCAGGCTGTGCTGCTTTAAGTCACTGAGTCTGTAGTGACTGTCACAGCAGCAGTCGTGACCAGGACCCGGCTCGATGGGGCTGCCACAGCAAATCCAAAGCACAGTGTGAGGTGCACCTTTCTTCCCTCGTGCCAGACATCAGAGATTAGCCAAACTCTGAGACACTGTCACTCTTCTCATTTTTAAACAGTATTTTTCGCCTAGCCGGTATGGCTCAGTGACTGAGGGTCGACTTATGAACCCAGAGGCCGTGGTTCAATTCAGGTTGTGGGCTCGACCCCCAGTGTGGGTGTGCAGCAGGAGGATAATCAATGATTCTCTCTCATCACTGATGTTTCTATCTCCCTCTCCCTCTCCCTTCCTCTCTGAAATTTCAAAAAAAAAAAAAAAGTCTGAGCCTCAGGCCTCAGTCTGAGTCTCTCTCTCTCTTTTTTTCAAAAAAATATATTTTATTGATTTTTTTACAGAGAGGAAGGGAGAGGAATAGAGAATTAGAAACATCGATGAGAGAGAAGCATCAATCAGCTGCCTCCTGCACATCACCCCACTGGGGATGTGCTCACAACCAAGGTACATGCCCTGGACTGGAATCGAACCCGGGACTCTTCAGTCCACAGGCCGATGCTCTATCCACTGAGCCAAACCGGTCAGGGCCAGGCTGAGTCTCTTACCAAGATTTAAAAATAATTTTTTTTTTAAAAGTTTCCATTTTCATTGCTCACACAGTATCCAGAGACATAACTCACATAAACCACCTTTAGCCAGATTTAACGTAAAGGGTCCTGAAGCCACAAAGATTGAGAACTCCAACGCTAACCAAACAAATGCCATTTACAAACTCTCCATCTCCCAGGGCAGGTGTGTGTGGGTCGGGGAGGCCAGGGACGCGCCAGAAGGGCAGTCAGCGTGGGTGAGAGAAGGGCCACCTGGCCTGCTCCATGTGCAGCCCGTCCACATGTGTGATCACAGAGGGATGAGGACACGAGGCCATCCACACCACCTGGGCTCCACGCCCACGTGAGGACACAGAACACCTGATCGCGTCGACAGCATGAAGCATGAATGCTAAAAAGCCGGGAGCAACTGCTGGAAACACCACCACAAAGTAGGCTGCCCTCACAAACCTGGAGTCCTCGTTAGCTACTAACAAAGGCCACGGAGAACTTGTGGACACAATATCACATCCATCAAAGGTTTCTCCATAAACCAAGACTACTGCTGCCCGGGGAAAACCCTGGGAACAAACCTTGGAGTAGGTGACACGTGGACCACGCTCACAGATCATTAAAAACGTCTCCATGGCCCTAGCTGGTTTGGTTCAGTGGATAGGGCGTCGGCCTGCGGGCCTAAGATCCCCAGGTTCGATTCTGGTCAATGGCACGTACCTTGGTTGCAAGCCCAAACCCCAGTCCTGGTTGGGGCACGTGCGGGAGGCAACCAATCCACATGTCTCTCTCAGATCAATGTTTCTCTCACTCTCTCTCCTTCCCTTCCACTCTCTCTAATAATCCTTGGGTGAGGATTAACAAAAAACCACGTCTCCACGGTTAACACATTTGTTTTCACTTTTACACAGCACATGGGCTGGGAAAGGATGAAAGGTGTTCAAAAAATGCCAGAAGGTTTGGGCAGAACCCTGTGAGGCCCTGGAAAGTCTCTGGAAGTGTCCCCAGATGCCAACATGCAAGGGCCCTGGGAAGACGGCCACTGGGGCAGACCTCACCCGTCCTCGGTGTCCTGCCCATAAGCTCACCTGAGTTGGCGTCTGCGCTGAACTCCAGACGGAGCTCCCCCTGCTGCGCTGCCCTACTCTGTTCCTCCAGGATCTGGTCAAGGACGTCCAATCCAGAGGCCACATCATGGGGCGTCAGATCAAAGGACGCCGACTCCTCGCACATCTTCTCCTGAAAGGCCAAGCACGCAGTGTGACGTGAGCAGGAGCTGGGCCTGGGGAGCTCCAGGAGGCAGGGTCTGGGGGTGCAGAGCTAAGGAGAGTGGGGAGCCCAGCCCTATCCACAGGTTCTGAAACTAGGTCACAAACATCCCATGATAGCAGCCTAACCCACTCAGCAGCCTAACCCACTCAGCAGCCTACCCACTCAGCAGCCTAAACTACTCAGCAGCCTAACCCACTCAGCAGCCTACCCACTCAGGCAGTCTACCCACTCAGGCACTCAGCATCCTACCCACTCAGCTGCCTAACCCACTCAGCAGCCTACCCACTCAGCAGTCTACCCCCTCAGCATCCTACCCCCTCAGCAGTCTACCCACTCAGGAGCCTAACCCACTCAGCAGCCTCCCCACTCAGCAGCCTACGCACTCAGCATCCTACCCACTCAGCTGCCTAACCCCCTCAGCAGCCTACCCACTCAGCAGTCTACCCCCTCAGCATCCTACCCCCTCAGCAGTCTACCCACTCAGGAGCCTAACCCACTCAGCAGCCTCCCCACTCAGCAGCCTACGCACTCAGCATCCTACCCACTCAGCTGCCTAACCCCCTCAGCAGCCTACCCACTCAGCAGTCTACCCCCTCAGCATCCTACCCCCTCAGCAGTCTACCCACTCAGGAGCCTAACCCACTCAGCAGCCTCCCCACTCAGCAGCCTACGCACTCAGCATCCTACCCACTCAGCTGCCTAACCCCCTCAGCAGCCTACCCACTCAGCAGTCTACCCCCTCAGCATCCTACCCCCTCAGCAGTCTACCCACTCAGGAGCCTAACCCACTCAGCAGCCTCCCCACTCAGCAGCCTACGCACTCAGCATCCTACCCACTCAGCTGCCTAACCCCCTCAGCAGCCTACCCACTCAGCAGTCTACCCCCTCAGCATCCTACCCCCTCAGCAGTCTACCCACTCAGGAGCCTAACCCACTCAGCAGCCTCCCCACTCAGCAGCCTACGCACTCAGCATCCTACCCACTCAGCTGCCTAACCCCCTCAGCAGCCTACCCACTCAGCAGTCTACCCCCTCAGCATCCTACCCCCTCAGCAGTCTACCCACTCAGGAGCCTAACCCACTCAGCAGCCTCCCCACTCAGCAGCCTACGCACTCAGCATCCTACCCACTCAGCTGCCTAACCCCCTCAGCAGCCTACCCACTCAGCAGTCTACCCCCTCAGCATCCTACCCCCTCAGCAGTCTACCCACTCAGGAGCCTAACCCACTCAGCAGCCTCCCCACTCAGCAGCCTACGCACTCAGCATCCTACCCACTCAGCTGCCTAACCCCCTCAGCAGCCTACCCACTCAGCAGTCTACCCCCTCAGCATCCTACCCCCTCAGCAGTCTACCCACTCAGGAGCCTAACCCACTCAGCAGCCTCCCCACTCAGCAGCCTACGCACTCAGCATCCTACCCACTCAGCTGCCTAACCCCCTCAGCAGCCTACCCACTCAGCAGTCTACCCCCTCAGCATCCTACCCCCTCAGCAGTCTACCCACTCAGCAGCCTACCCTCTCAGCATCCTACCCACTCGGCAGTCCACCCACTCAGCAGCCTAACCCACTCAGCATCCTACCCACTCAGCAGCCGAGCCCAGACCAGTGTTTGAAGCTACTTCGAGCAGCCAACACTTCATAAATGGAAATTTCCCATTAAAACCTAGATTTCTGACTGCTCTCAAAGTCAGATCTGGTCCATGGGCAGGAAGTGCCTGGAGCTGAGTGGGGCTGAGGGCTGCCACCCACACTGGACACCGAGCCATCGTGGATAGCCCAGCCAGCAGCCTACCCACTCAGCAGCCTACCCTCTCAGCATCCTACCCACTCGGCAGTCCACCCACTCAGCAGCCTAACCCACTCAGCATCCTACCCACTCAGCAGCCGAGCCCAGACCAGTGTTTGAAGCTACTTCGAGCAGCCAACACTTCATAAATGGAAATTTCCCATTAAAACCTAGATTTCTGACTGCTCTCAAAGTCAGATCTGGTCCATGGGCAGGAAGTGCCTGGAGCTGAGTGGGGCTGAGGGCTGCCACCCACACTGGACACCGAGCCATCGTGGAGCTGCCCCCGCTCCAGAGCATGAACACGGCTGCCTGGCAGCCTCCCTCCCGAGCCTGGACAAGGCCACTGCTCCTGGGAACACAGGCCCTGGCAGAGGCCACATGCTGACTGGGGGCGCAGGCGACAGGTCTGCTTGGTCCTGACATTCAGGGCCACAGGAGCTGGGACACAAAGGTCTGTACTGCTCTCTGCAGGGGAAGAGGCATAGGGGGGGAGGGAGGGCGTGGGGAAGGCCAGCAGCACTCACCACATTGTGAGCTTCATCGAAGATCACCACCGTCCCCTTGAGATCGATGCCGTGTGCCCGGCGACTCTGCGGGTGGGGAGAGGACGCAGAGCTGCAGCGGAGCAGGGCAGCCACTGCCCCTCAGGGCCCTGGAGGCCAGGAGCAGAGGCTCAGGGCGCACAGCCCTGGCGGGCCTCAGTCCCATACCACCCGGGACACACAGCAGGCCCTCTGATACCTGCTGCTGGGTGGCAGCGAGTTGTAGCCACCCGGCACTGCCCACCACCACTGAGCTGGACATCACGGGTGTGTCCTAGTGACACGTAGCACAAGGGAGCAGGCCGTGACCCTTTGCCACAGCAGGCTAAGCAGCCACAGAATGGAGACCACCCAGCACCTGCCACGGGGTGCACTGGTGGAGGTGTTTACACCCCAGGTGGGGGGGAAGTCACCTGCAGAGGGGTCTGGCATCTGTACTTCTTTTCAGCTTAATCTTAATTCTCATAAAATAAAGTGCCCATTTTAAGTGTGCCATCAAGAGGTGACATCCCTGCCGTATGACCCCCTCTTCCTATGAGCAGGGACCAGGACTGTAGGGTCAGGCAGGGGGCTCCTGTGTGGGCGTGCTCTCCCAAGCCCATGCATGTGGCTGTGTGGAGCGCAGGTCACACCTTCTGATTGCTGGTAGCTGTTCTTGGGACACCAGATGTTGATGGACAGGTCCCTGGCTTTGGTGAGCGTTAAACTTGCCGACACCAATTTTAGGTCTTCTGACTTTCAGCCATTTCTGGGGGAACGCAGGGCCACCTGCCTGTGCTCTTCGTGTGCAACGCCTGAACATTTTCTCTTTTTATAATTCTTTATTGTTGACCGTCTCCAGCCTGCCCCAAAAAAAAAGTGTTCATGGGCTATGCATACATGCATACAAGGTCTTTGGTTGATTACCTCCCACCCCCCACCTCTCCCCCGCCTTCCCTCTGAGATTCCACACTCTGTTCCATACGCTTCCATGTCTCTGATCACTCCGTTCATCAGCTTATTTTGTTAGGTTCCACATGAGTGACATCATGTGATGCTTGTCTTTCTCTGACTTACTTCACTCAGCATGATACTCTCAGGTCCCTCCATGCTGCCTCAAAGGGTAAGAGATTCTTCATTTTTACTGCTGCATAATATTCCATGGTGTAAATGTACCACAGCTTTTTTATTAACTCGTCTACTGATGGGCACTTGGGCTGTTTCCAGATCTTAGCTATTGTAAATTGTGCTGCTATCAACAAAGGGGTGCATACCTTCTTTCTGATTGGTGCTTCGGGTTTCTTAGGATATATTCTAGAAGTGTGATCACTGGGTCTAAGAGGGTTCCCTTTTCTCCACATCCTCACCAGCACTTGTCATTTATTGATGGTAGCTATTCTGACAGGTTTGAGGTGATACCTCATTGTTGTTTGATTTGCATCTCTCGGATGATCGGTGACTTTGAGCATTTTTTCATATGTCTCTAGGCCATCTGTATGTCCTCTTTGGAGAAGTGTCTATTTAGGTCCCCTGCCCATTTTTTAATTGGGATGTTTGTCTTCCTTTTGTTAAATTATATGAGTTCCTTATATTTTTTTGATATTAGCCCTTTGTCAGATGTATCTTTGCCAAATATGTTCTCCCATACAGCAAGCTCCCTTTTCGTTTTGTTGGTTTCTTTTGCTGTACAGAAGCTTTTTATTTTGATGTTGGCCCATTTGTTTATGTTCTAATCCTTTGCCCTAGGAGATATATTGCTACGAGAGATGTCTGAGATTTTGTTGCCTATGGTTTCTTCTAGACCTTTATCCATTTTGAGTTTATTCTTGTGTATGGTGTAAGTTGGTAGTCTGGTTTCTTTTGCATGTATCTGTCCAATGTTCCAAGCACCATTTATTGAAGAGACTCTCTTCTATGCTCTTGCCTCCTTTGTCAAATACCAATTGAGCGTAATGGCTTGGGTTGATTTCTGGGGTCTTTGCTGTGTGCCACTGATCTATATGCCTGTTCTTGTGCCAGTACCAGGCTGTTTTGATGATGGTGGCTTTGTAGTATGACTTGAAATCTGGTATTGTGACTTCTCTGGTATTGTGTTCTTCTTTCTCAACATTGTGCAGCTATTCGGGGTCTGTTTTGGTTCCATATAAATTTTTGGAGTATTTGTCCTAGCTGTGTGAAATATGCCGTTGGTATTTTAATAGGGATTTTACTAAATCTGTAGATTGCCTTGGGTAGTATGGACATTTTTAATGATGTTGATTCTACCAATCCATGAACATGATATGTTCTTCTACTTGTTTATATCTTCTTCTATCTCTTTTTTCAACATACTATAATTTTCCAAATACAGGTCTTTTGCCCCTTGGTTAAGTGTATTCCTAAGTATCTTAATTTTTTTGTTGTAATGATAAAAAGAATTGCTTTAGTTTCTCTTTCTCAGAATTCATTACTGGTGTATAAAAAAACCATTGATTTTGAGGGGATGATTTTGTATCCTGCTACACTGCCAAATTCATTTATTAAATCTAGTAGTTCTTTAATGGAGTCTTTAGGGTTTTCTATGTACAATATCATGTCATCTGCAAATAATGAGTTTTACTTCCTCCTTTCCAATTTGGATGCCTTTTATTTCTTCTTCTTGTCTGATTGCTGTGGCTAGGACTTCCAGTACTATGTTGAATAGGAGTGATGAAAGTGGACATCCCTGCCTTTTTCCTATTCTTTGGGGAAATGGTTTTAGTTTTAGCCCATTGAGTTCACTGTAGGTTTGTCATATATGGCCTTTATCATGTTGAGATATGCTCCCTCTATTCCCACTTTGCTGAGAGCGTTTATAAAAAGTGGGTTTTGGATTTTGTTGAATGGTTTTTCTGCATCTATTATATGATTTTTGTCTTTCAATTTATGTGATGTATCACATTTATTGATTTACAAATATCATACCAGCCTTGCAACCCTGGAATAAATCCCACTTGGTCATGGTGTATGATCTTTTCAATACATTGCTGAGTTGGATTTATTAATATTTTGTTGAGTATTTTAGCATCTATTCTCACAGGGATATTGGCCTGTAATTCTCTCTTTATGTTCATCAGGGATATTGGCTTGTAATTCTCTTTCTTTGTAGTATCTTTATCTGATTTTGGAATTAGGATGATGCTGGGCTCATAAAAAGAGCTTGGAAGTGTTCCTTCCTCTTGCAATTTTGGAATAGTTTGTGGAAGATAGGTGTTAGTTCTTCTTTGAGTGTTTGGTAAAACTCTCCTGCGAAGTCATCTGGACCCAGGCTTTTATTTGCTGGGAGTTTTTTTCATTACTGCTTCTATTTCCTCAGTTGTTATTGGCCTATTCAGGTTTTCTGATTCTTCCTGATTCAGTTTTGGGAGATCGTATTTTTCTAAGAATCTGTATATTTCATCCACATTGTCCACCTGTTGGCATATAGTTTTTCATAGACTTTTCTTACAATCCTTTGTATTTCTGTGGTGACGGTGGTTGCTTCTCTGCTTTTGTTTCTGATTTTATTTATGTTTCTTGATGAGTCTGGCAACTGGTTCATCAATCTTGTTTATCCTTTCAAAGAACCAGCTCTTGGTTTCATTTCTTTCTTTTTTTAAATATATATTTTATTGATTTTTCACAGAGAGGAAGGGAGAGGGATAGAGAGTTAGAAACATTGATGAGAGAGAAACATCGATCAGCTGGCTCCTGCACACTCCCTACTGAGGATGTGCCCAAAACCAAGGTACATGCCCTTGACCGAAATCCAACCTGGAACCCTTGAGTTTGCAGGCCAATGCTCTATCCACTGAGCCAAACCGGTTAGGTCTTTCTTTCTTTTTTAAGTCTTTATGTTATTTATTTCTGCTCTAATCTTCTACTTACTCTGGGATTTTCTTGTTTTTCTCGTTCTAGCTCTTTAAGTTGTAAGATTAAATAGTTTACTGCTGATATTTGTTTTTTGAGGTAGGCCTATAGTGCTATGAACTTCGCTGACAGGACTGCTTTTGCTGTGTCCCAGAGATTTGAGGTTGTTGTGTGTTCATTTTCATTTGTTTCCAGGAAGTTTTTGATTTCTTTCTTGACCTTGTTGGTAACCCATTCATTGTTTAATAACATGCTATTTAGCCTCCATGTGTTTGAATGTTTTTGGGTGTTTTTACTGTAGTTGATTTCTAATTTCATTCCACTGTGATCTGAGAAGATGCTTTATATGATTTCAATCTTTTTGAACTTACAGATACCTGTTTTGTGTCCTAACATGTGGTCTATCTTTGTGAATGATCCATGTGCACTTGAGAAGAATGTATATCCTACAGCTTTGGAGTGAAATGTTCTATAAATGTCAATTAAATCCATCTGATCCAGTATGTCCTTTACAGCGACTCCTTAATTTTTTGGAAGATCTACCCAATGAAGTTAGTGGGGTGTTAAAGTCCCCTATATGACTGTATTGTTTTCGATTTCTCTGATAAAGTCCTCTAGAATTTTTTAATATATTTAGGCGTGCCTATATTGGGTGCATATATGTTTACCATGGTTACCAGTATATCCTCTTGTTGGAACAATCCCTTTAGTATTATGTGACCTTGTTGTCTCTTGTGATGGCCTTCATTCTGAAGTCTATTTTGTTAGTTATGAGTATTGCTACTCCCGCTTTTTTTCATTTGCAAGGAAAATTTTTTCCCATCCCTTCACTCTCATCCTGTGTGAGTCTTTTGTTCTAATGTGGGTCTCTGTCTGGTAGATAGCAAAAAGTTGGGTCATGTTTTTGTATCCATTGAGGTACTCTCTGTCTGTCTGTGTGTATATATATATGTATATGTATATGTATATGTATATATATATAATATTTTTCCCCCCAGAGAAGAGAAAGAGGAAGAGAGAGATAGAAACATCAATGATGAGAGAGAAGAGAGAGAATCATTGATCGGCTGCTTCCTACATGCCCCCTAA